CCGGATAACTACGTTGGGGGAGGGGATTTGAATTTCATTTTTGACCACTGCTTACGTGGCATTTGCCACATAAGCGGGTAGGAGAACGGGGCTCTACACCCTTATATGGCTTGGATAAAAATAAGAATTTTAGTAAATTTTGTAAGAATTTTTTTACGTGTTACACCCAGTCGATCTGGTCCAACTCGGATGACTTTTGATATTAATCGATCTAGACGAGTTGAAAAGAATGTGTTTTATTATTCAAAAATTTAACCACGTGTGAAGTTTAAACCGTATACGTTTGTCTTTCATTATATCTTGAAAAATCAAGAGAAAACTTCAGACTTTAAATATTTCAATTTATAAATCAAATTTTAAATTAGAACCATGATTATTTTATATTTATTGTTATTCATATAGCTCATTATTTTTAAAATAAATTTTTTATTTAACGTTAACTCGATGATTGAACTGGTAAGCCATTAACCTGATGCTTTGACCGGGTTGATTCTCATAACTGTGTCAAAGGTTAGATACTAGTGCTGCTAGTTATCACAGACATGTTTACTCATCTTGAATATTTTTTTGCTATACATTTCTTTTTGTTTTAGCATTGAGTTTCTAACATCTATATCATTTAAATATTGACACATCATTTCTAATATGATCATCATTACCATACTAGGCTCCCATCGTAGAGGAAGACCATGTGGTTGGTTTTAAAGATGAGGCAACAAAAGTTATTGATCTCCTTACTACAGGATCTGAAGAACTAGAAGTTGTATCAATAGTTGGTATGCCAGGTCTTGGTAAGACAACATTGGCTAAAATGATATATCGTGATCCTAAAATAGAATTCGAATTTTACAATCGTATATGGGTTTACGTTTCTCAAGATTGTAATAGAAAGGAAGTTTTCCTTACTATACTGGATCAAATCACCAAGGTAACTGAAGACGTACGTAGCATGACAGAAGACAATTTAGCTCAAAAACTTCTTAGATCTTTGGAGAAAGAGAAGTATTTAATTGTCATGGATGATGTTTGGAGTCAAAATGATTGGAATCATCTCCAATTTGCTTTACCTAAGAACAAGAAGAAAAGCAGAATATTATTGACTAGTCGTTACAGTACTGTGGGTAAGACTGACAAGTGTAAAGTAGCATGCCATGATTTGCGATTTCTAACTCCTGATGAGAGTTGGACGTTACTTCGTAGGAAAGCACTTGGCTTGGAGGAATGCCCAAGGGAGTTGGTTACACATGGAATGAAAATAGCTGCTGAATGTGATGGACTACCACTCGCGATAGTGGTGATTGGAGGAATTCTCCTAGAAAAAGGTACCGAAATTTATCATTGGGAAGATGTTTCCAAAAATGTGAAGGAATATATTGTTGAAATGGATCCACAGAAGACCATGGACAATTTTATAGCATGGAGTTTTAATCACCTACCTTATCACTTGAAAGAGTGTTTTATCTACTTTGGGATGCTTCCAGAAGACTATCGTATCACAGTAAGGAAACTGATTCGCTTATGGGTTGCCGAAGGATTCATACAACGAAAGGGGGCGTTAAACTTGGAGAGTGTTGCAGAGGACTATCTAGAAGATCTTGTCAACAGGAATTTAGTCATGGTTGAAAAATGGAGGTCAAATGGCAAGATTAAAACTTGCTATGTTCATGACATGATCCATGTGTTTTGCAAGAACAAATCAGTTGAGGAAAATTTTTACCACGAAATCAAACGGTATGAACAAATTACTGATTCATCTTCCAGCGATGCCTTCAAAATGTACCGTGGCCTTTCTATTCCACCCCATTTTCTGAGCACTATATCTCCAAAACAGTTTGGTCCACATGTTCGGTCTTTCTTGTGTTTCTCCAATGACGAAATTACCTTGACACTTGCAAACATTTCTTCCATCCCCAAAACATTTAAATTGCTCAGGGTATTAGATGGTGAGCCCATACGTTTCAGCCGTTTTCCTACTGACCTTACTCTACTGGTTAATTTGAGGTACCTTGTTCTCTCCATCCAATTCAAGATCCTTCCTAAATACATTACCAACCTTTGGAACATGCAAACTCTTATAGTCAAGACATCATCAAATGCCCTTGAAATTAAAGGTGATATATCGAAAATGGTTCATCTGAGACATCTAGAAACAAATGCGTCCACATCGTTTTCGGACCCCGTTTCTAAAAAAAGAAGCAATGACGAAGGTTCTTTGATAAACCTAAGAACGCTTTCAACTATATCACCTGAAACTTGTTCAGAAGATGTCTTTGACAGGGCTCCTAGCCTAACTAAGTTGGGTATTCGTGGTCAATTGTCTAAACTCTTCGAGGTCAAGGGTGGATCTAGTTTGTTTGACAATGTGAAAAAGTTGAATTCCCTTGAAAATTTGAAGCTATTCAATGATGTGGTTGATGTGCAAGATTCTAAAGGCAAATTAGTTAGCCCTCCAGAAAAATTTCCACCAAACCTAAAGAAGCTAACACTCTATGGCACACAGCTTGATTGGAAGTACATGTCTACACTGGGAATGTTGGAAAACCTCGAGATCCTCAAGTTGAAAGAAAATGCATTCAAGGGAAAGTGGTGGGAGCCAAAGGATGGAGGTTTTCCTGCTCTTAAAATCCTGCATATTGGAAGGACAGATTTAACTAATTGGGTTGCTTCTGATAGTCACTTCCCAAGTCTCAAGAGTCTTCACCTTCAACACTGCACTTACCTCAGTGCAGTCCCATTTGGCCTCGCGAATATTGCAACCCTCCAGACAATAGAGTTGTACTGGACCACCCCAGCAGCAGCTACTTCTGCCAAGAGAATTCAAAGCAAAAAGAAGGAAGATCCGCAAACAAATAAAGGCAAGGGATTTAAGCTTTCCATTTATCCTCCTGATCACGATAAATGATGACCTCCATTTGTTCAATCTCCGAATTGCTACATTCTCAGGTACTAAATTTTCATTTACTTGTTCTTCTCACTCTATATTTATATTTGTCATATTGAACAGCAAATATTTTGTTTGAAGACCTAGATATTGGATTTATTCATCTCAAATTGCAGCATCGTAACAGCTTTCTTTTCATCTTTTAACTAAACCAGTAGTGTTATACATTAGTTTACATATAAGGTTAGAGTTTCCAAGCTTCTTGTTCTTCAAGCAATTATGTGAATCATAAACACCTGAAAGATGATCTCTCAATATGATGCCAAATTATGATTGTACACAAGATTTTCTTCACTTATAACTGATTGTCCTTTTTAAATTTCCCAGATGACCAGTTAAAGGGTGGGAAATAGATCCTTTTTAGATTGTTCAGACATGTATATGCGCACTAGGACTGATCTCCTAAGCATCGGTGTTTAGCTTTTACTAAGTACTCGGGTGACATGACACACTACAATAAGTGGTGGGATACTTGGTACTTAGGAGATCAATTCTATATATAAACAAACTACAGAAATATGGGTCACAAGACTGACTTGTCATTGCAGGCAGAAAATTTAATTAACAATTTCATTTTTAGTTTTAACGTTGTTTTCATATAATTGACTATGCAATTTGTGCACACAGATAATTCATCCTACAACAATGCCAAGGATGATGAAGATAGATGCATGGAGTGATGGCTTCTCTTCACAGTCTTGTTGCACTTGCTCGAGTAAAAGACACTATTGAATTTCATTTTAAGTTCAACTTCAGAAAAATTACATTTGCTTTTATCCAATGTGTCGAGTTTTCGTCCTTTTTTTTTTTTTT